TGGATAATGAAAGTAAGTGGGGTTCAGTATTGTTTTGGACCCCATTGACTTATGGATGAAAACAGTAGAAACATTCTTTAAAAGATCTTTTTTTGTGTTCCACAGGAGAAAGAAAGTCATACAAGTTTGGAACGGCATAAGGGTGAGTAAATGATTTAAAATTTTTGACATGCTCTTCAATCAATGTCATTCCGCAAACTTCATCATACAGATTAATACTGACTCTTCTTTAATGGTTAATGTGAACTATACACTACATTAAACACTAATAAGAGTGGTGCTTCATCATGCATGACTAAGAAGGTCTTGGGTGGTTATGATATGGTTACTATAAGGTGCTCTGAATGATTTGTAGTGCATTACTATATGGTTGCTAGGTGCTGCTGACCCTCCAGCAATGAAAGTCGATGGTTGTGTCCCAAATGAGTGGGGTTCCCAGCAGTGGTTCCCAAACCTAGTCCAGGAGAACCCCCAACAATGCACATTTTAATGCAAATTATTTATTGCACTTTTTTCCTCCCTAATGAAACGCACTTAATTCAATTTATCAGCCCGTTAGTAGACTCCAAAATCTGTGTGTGTCATATAAGAGAGACATAAAATATATGCAGTGTTTTGGGTTCTCCAGGACCAGGACTGGGGACCACTGCTATACACTATGCACTTACAGTATACTATTCACTATGTACTCAAAGTCTAGGGTATGAATAGTATTAGGTTATTTTGTTATCCAACTTCAAGTCCCTCCACTACATAAGGAAAGCTTTGACCCATGAATGCATGGTGTCCAACATTCTACACTTTGTTGTTTCAGTTAAATTCTTGTTGGAATTTTCGGTTTGAATATTCTACTCACACTATTTATACTATAAAAGAGTATAGAGAATAAGTACACCAGGGATGGGCAACTCTGAAAGTTGCAGTTTTTGGTCAGTTTGTGTGGAAATGTATGTTTTTGATCAACTCTTTCCCCGTTTGATTTAATTTATAGCAATAAATTAGTATTGTATGCTATTAAATGTTCACTTAGTTATCACCAAAGCTCTCTCTCTCTGTTTTGTTGTAGATCTTGTATCCCTTAATATTTATGTTGGCTCAGAAATCTATCTGAAATAGAATGTGTGTAAACAGCTTGGAAAGTCATTGCTTCATAGGGCAGCAAGGGAATAAGTCAGCTGCCTAAGCTTTGAGGCACAGCATTAAAGCTAGGTGAGTTTGATCAGGGTTGAAGCTAAACTCTGCAGCAAAGTTGTCTAGCCATGAAGTATGCGGATTAAGATGCACCTTTTCTTTCACATGTATTTGATTGTTTTCTGTTTCCAAATTATAACTCTGATCACTCAGAAAGATCTAAAAAATATAGCAGAAATAAGCACTGTAACATTGAGACTGAGCCTTAGAAGTACGCTTAGAAGTTTTACTTGAGCTAACGCACACAGGGTTAATAGTCCTGTCATGGAATCATAACTGAACCTGAAAGACTAATATGGAGGTTTTACAGACGTTTTACAGACTGACGTTCCTGTCAACCAACACTCACAGTATCACCAGATCTAAACACTGAGGCCTTGAGTTCATGTTGTTGCCTCTCAGTCACCCATGGCATTCTTCATATTATTTCAGTGCTCTTGAAAAATTATGGGTGATTCTGGCAAAGAGAACCTGAGTCTTTTTCCCCTCCAATCCAAAATTGCAGGAACGTCTTTGCTAAATTCATAAATTTGCACAATGATATTTGCAAGTGCGTAATCATCTCAAGTGCAAATGCTCTTTCACTGCTGCTGTGAGCTGATGTGATGACAGCAGATGTGTGTCAAAAAGCAGCTGTCTGATTGACTGCCTGTTAAATTCTAATGTTCTATTTCTTGTTTATGCTTCTGTTAATCCTGCATATGGACTCGGGCTCTGATTGGTATTGTGCTTTCTGGTTAAATATTAGCCTGTTGCGCAGTAATGGGCGCTGTGGCTTCTCTTGGGGATTCTTGTGAGTGGAAATGAACATTCTGATGGCATTCAGTGTTTACTGAGAGATTATGAGGATCACATTCAGCAGCACAAAGCATATATTTTCACAGCTCAGCTTTATTTGGAATGGCTGAGAACATTAAGCCAAGGAAATGGAGCGTGGTAGCAATACCACTTTTTTAGACAGCCAAACGCTTTAGTGAATGGAGCACACGGTCATCTGGTGTGTGTGTGGATCTTCACCGAAATAACTTTACAAATAGGATAATCAATCATTAACATAAGTCAACTAAATAGTGCACTACAAGTCAAAACGTTTTGATTCCCCCCCCCCCCCCCC